CCCAGTCCTTGTCTTCCCCTCCCGCGGGCACGTGCACGTCTTCTTCCTGTTCCCTCGGCCGCGCGTACGTGTCCTCGGTCCCCGCGGGCGCGCTCACGGCCCTTCCCCTGCTCTCGCGGCGATTCCCCACTCCACGCGCCTCCCTCTTGGAGTGGAACCCGGGTCCATTCTGTGCTCTGTCTCCCGCGTGTGTCTCTGCGCCTGGTGCCGGGAAGGCAGAGACGGGAGCAGCGGGTCACTGGTGGGGAGACGGTAAATCTGTCACGCGACAAAGACAGAGGGGCCCCGCGGGGACCACGTGGCCTCACAGGCCTCTGGGTCTGGCCAGTGGTGGGAGGGGAGGCCGGGGCGACAGGACGAACCAGGGCTTTTTGTGTCCTGAATGTAACCGGCATCCTAATTCCTAGTCCCTTGTCTTAACGTGACAGTCTCTGGAGAATGAACCGCACCACCACAGCAGGTCTGGGGACAGATGATGAGGGTGTGACGGAGCATACATACCCTGTCCTTCCCTCCTAGACCTGTTGAGTGGTGTGTGACAGTACACGACCAGTACTATCCGTATTCTGACGTTAATTTGAACCCTGACCACCATCCCTGAAGACCTGTGGTGAGAGGTAAAGCGGTGTGTGACAGGACATATCCAGGGCTTTCTCCATTTTAACCCTGACCATGACCCTGACCCTTGGAGACCTACTGGCCAGTTGAGGGGTGTGTGAAGGAACACGCTCCTGGCTTTCCTTATGCTACCCTCATCATTATCCAAACCCAATCCTTATCTGGAGCCTGACTGGCCTGTGGTTAGAGGTAAAGCTTTGTAACTGGGACGCATCCATTGCTTGCCATAGTTTGCAAAAGCTAGAGCTTTTAGGAAGGCCATATTGGTAGCATTTGGATAATGGATTGGGGAAGGAAGAAAAAAACAAAACCGTGAAGGCCAGCGAAGGGCGATGATGATATTTCAGTGTGGGTAATGGAGATGTAAACCAGAGGATGGGCAGCTGAGAGACTGGGAGAATCAGTAGACCTGGCAACTGATCGAAAAGGGGGTAGAGTGCTGGTGGGAGGGGGAATCACCTGTAGCCCCATATGTAGAGCAAGTATAACACTTCAGCATTGCTAAGCACCAGGAATGTAGGAATTAGAGCAGATTTTTGAACAGATATGGGGAAAATAAGGATGAGTTCAGTTTGGTGTGTTTGTCCATGGGAGATGTTTCCTTCAAACAGGGTCTTGTTATGTTGCCCTGCTTGGCCTTGAACTATAGGTTCAAACCATCTTCTCAGCCTGAGTAGTGTCTATAGAACTTTATACTTTATAAACTTCAGGTGAGAATAGTTATTTAGAGACAGAGCTGCTGACAGCAGTAGAATTATAACTAAGAGCATCAGAGGAGGAAACAGAAAAAAAATGATTCTCAGTAATAATATACTTTATCCCAATATGCAAATAGACACATAATGAATATGTTCCCCAGCTTTTACATATACATTTTGTGATCAACCAATGGATCATGGCCCTAAATTCATGATACTATGACTAGAACAGTGTTTTTGCCTCAGTGAATGCACAATAAAGGTATTACATAACCTGAATGTTGTCCCTGCCTGTAATCCTAGTTTTGTGGGAGGCTGAAGCAGGAGGGTTGAAAGTCACATTCCAGCCTAGGAAATTTAACAACTTAGTAAGACTGTCTCATAATAAAAAAAATATTGGACAAGGGGCTGGGGATGTAGCTTAGTGCACAGGCCCTGGGTTCAGTCCCCAACTGAAAAAAAAGAAAAAGAAAAAAGATATTAAGTGATGTCTTTCTTCAGACCATTAAAAAGTATTTCTGTTGGCATAGCATCTGTTTTGTAATTTAGAAAATTTATCAGAGAATTAATGTATGGTAAATTCGGCTTTATGCCTTACATCCTAAGTTGAGGAAATTAGTGGCCCTTTATTCTTTTTTGTCTTCTACTCTTGCCACTTTTTGATGCCTATATTATTATGTTGTTAAAATTATATGAGGATATACTCTAAAAAATGGAAGGAAAAACTCTAAGAAAGAAGACACTGAACTCAAGAAACAGCCCTACTTCAGAAGCAGGGTAAAGAGACCCCATGGTGGATGGCTGTGTGCTGGGCCAGAAGTCACGCAGACCCAAAGATGCAGGGCTAGAAGGCCTTAAAAGGAAAGTGGATCTATTTTTACAGACAAAGTGGAAAAAAAAAAATCTATTGATAAAGTCATACTCTTTGTTTTACCAAAAAATAAGCATAAAGGCAATCAAAAATTCTTGGAATAATATGGTTAAGTAAGTTTTATATTTAAACATTGTTCTATAACTGTAATGAATCAAATGAGCAGTAATTCTGGCTCATTTCAAAACTTGAAATTCCAGTAAACAGATTTTACAGTATTTTGTTATATACATAGTATTTGCTGTAGAACTCATTTGGTTAATAGTTTGAATTTCAAATTTAAATCCTTTCCTTGTTCTGCTCAATACCTGTGCCCTCCATTCAACCCAGAAACTGGTGGATTTATTTATTAATTAGATCTTTGCTTATTTCTTTTCCTTTGTGTCTTTCTGGAATTATTGTTAATCAGAAATCTTTTATGTCTTTTAACATTTTTTCCCCCTCTTTTCTATTTTTGTCCTTTTCCCCTACCCCAAGATTTTCTCCTAACTTGTTTTCCATTTTGCTAATCTCAACTTTTTATTTTGTACAAGTGCTGGGGATTGAACCCTAGGCCTTGTGCATACTAGACAGGCACTCTACGACAGAGCTACATCTGTAGGCTTCTTAATTCCAATATTAATTTCCAGTGATTATTTCTTATGTTTCTGATTGTTTCTCTCTTGTAGCTGCTGTCTGTTGATATTTTATAGATGCAGTTGTCTTTTCTGAGTTTGAGAAAACTAGAATTAAAAAAAAATTCTCAGTCTCTGAATTACAGAACTCTCCCACTGGGTCATTTTTTCTCCCCCTTTCCCTCCCTCCCTCCATTCCTTCCTTTGTCCCACTTTGTGTTTTGGTTTTCCAAGACACTTGATGACCCTTTGCCTTCTGTGTGTGGGTTCTGAATAAAGGCATGTTAGCTAATGCAGAGTCCTCTTTGCCTTTTGTAGTTACTTTGTGAAGGACCTTAGGGATTCTGCCCTACCTGCCTCAGGTTCTCAGACTGTTGTGATCTGCTCCTTCGTCTATTAATAGTGTCTCATCCACTCTCTGTTTTAAAAGAATTAGCCAACTCTCTGTTTTCTTGTTCTCCATACTGTAATGGATTTTCTTTTTTTGGGGCTTCTTTACAAATGTCATGGAAATGAGATTAGGGAAGGAAGATAAATGTGTATGTGCAGTCTCACACTGAATTTTAACTAACGTTTCTTATTGCTTATTCAGCTCTCGATTTTCTATATTCTGCTTTAAAGAGAACAAGAAAGACGCTTAACTTTCTCATCTAGTACCTGGTGCCAAGAGCCCCAGGCCTGCCCAAAGTGTGAGCTCCACATTTCCATTTTCCCTCCCTTTCCTAGGCCTCATGGCAGCTGTGCTGCTTTTCAGAAAGGAGTTAACTTCCTTCTAATGTGCTCCCTACTTAATTTCTGTTTCCCTTTTTACTGGAAATAATTTGATTTCCTGTGCCTGTATCTTTCTACCAGTCACATTTATGCACTGCCTATATAGTGTCCTTTTCTTTTTTGCTTGGAGGACAGGGGAAAGCAGAAATGGAAGGGCAATTGTTGACTTTTCTATGGTAAGCAAAGCTCAGTCCCCTTCTGCCTGAAGAATGATTCTTTCTCCAGGATCCCTGCTCCTATCTTAGTTATCATTTCAACATTCAGTTGAACATAACAGAGTAGGGTGGTAGAGCTAAGAGGGAATTATAAGGCAAACATTTTCTGCCTCAGGGATTTTATGGACTGGTTCAGGATATTACACTTAGGGCATATAAATACCTAGTGATCAACTCATGACAATACAGAATTAAGTTGTATAACTCTAAATGTATAAGGGTTCTATTGAATTTAGGAAAAGTTAGAGCTTGCATTTGGCTCACAGAATTTAGGAGAGAAGCCTAACAGTCTGAGAAGTGGGGAAGTTTGTAGGAGCCAAGATTCAGAGATAGAAGAAAGGAGAAGCCTGTGAAATGAGTAGGGAGGTGAGGATCAAACTGGAGACAGAGCAGGTCTCCCCTGGGTGTGACTTGAATGCATGTTCACGCCTGTGAGTGTGGGTGTGGCAGAGGGGAGGAGGAATCAGAGAAGTTAAGTCTTGGGTTCTGAAGGAAAGTCAGGCTTCAGTGCTTAGTGACCTTGAACCCACTATACTACCCTGCTTTTTTTTTTCTGTAAAGTTAAAGCAAGTTGGAGAAGGTTGGGAGAGAAGAGAGTGTCAAGGGGAATCACTAGTTTAAAAAGTATAATCTGGGCTTTATTATTGTCATAATTTCCCATTTAGGTCATTGCCCACCGTCAGTATCAAAAGTCCAAAAGAATTTCCATCTTTCTGAGCATGCAAGATGAAATTGAGACAGAAGAGATCATCAAGGACATTTTCCAACAGGGCAAAACCTGCTTCATCCCTCAGTACCAGTTTCAGAGCAATCACATGGACATGGTGAAGTTGGCATCACCTGATGAAATCTCTTCACTTCCTAAAACATCCTGGAATATTCATCAGCCTGGTGAGGATGATGTTCGTGAGGAGGCTTTGTCGACAGGCAAGTGTTTTCATGTTAGAATTGATATTTTAGGGTGTTGTCAGATTGTAATGAGTTTTTAGACCTCTGGACCACCTGTTATTTGGGGATCAGTGGGAGTTTCTTTTTTCCATATGGAAGAATTTGTATTTTGCTCATATTCCAAGATGCCACATGACCTGGCTTAGGACACAAATTCTCCGTAAGTTGTGAACTGTAGACTATAAATAGCGAGTTGTCAAGGTATTGCTGCCTTCCCACAGGCTCTTGTACAAACCTTGTGGGCTGAATTGTACATTTCTCTGGGTGATTTCATCATTAATCTATATACTTATGAGTGCATTATTATTATTAATGTTAATGAGGATTTCTATCCCCAGGTCAGACCTATCACCTACCTTGTAGCCATAGCTACTTAAGTCATGTGGCATCTCAAATACAGTGTGTTCCAAACTGGATCACATTCTCAGCCCTGCTACCATGGTCCATCTCAGTGTGGCCACCACCAGCCAGTTGAGTATGACAGAGATCCCTAGTCACCTTAGATTCCTCTCTTCTCATGCTCTAGCTACTGCCTGTTGCCAAGTCTAAGCTACCATCATCCTTGCCTGGGTTACTGTGCCAGCTCCTAGCTGTCCCTCTGTCCCTGTCTTGTATCCTTTCCTCCATTTTAATCCATGATCTGCAAAGTCATTGAAACAAGATTTCTAAAAGAAGTCTCTTAGTGACTTTCTGTTGTCCTTAGGTTGAGGTGAACACCTCTTAAAGAGGCTCACCTGGTGTTGGTCCTGCATCTCTTCTCTCTCTCTGGCATGGGTCCTGCTTGCCCTCCCAGCTTACATCTTCCTTTTCTCCAGTGACTTTTAAGATCTCTCTGTTCTTTAACCTTCCTCTGTTTTCTCTACCTTGGGATCTTTATACCTGCTGTTCTCTGGCCAACAGCTGCTTGGGAGATTTTTTTATCGTTATTAAGAAGCCAGAGAGCCTAACGCAAAATAAGCTAAGGCTACCATTTGGTAAAGTAATGCCTTAAACCTGTCTCAGGGGTGTATATTTTGACTAAGACTTAAATGGTTGTAGAGACTGCATAGCTTTGCGTAGCCTTATCCTAATTTCTTCCCTTTGAAATTTAGCATCATAACCTATAAAAGCAGTATGATGGGATGGAAAAGGACAGGGTCAAAGACTTATCTGCTTTGCTGCTTCAACTTCTCTTATGTTTTCCAGTCCTGGAATTTGTAAGATATTTAGGCACGAAAAGTGTATTCAAATCTGCCTTCTTCCTGTCCTGTATCTGTAGACCTGATGAGTAACAGCGTTATAAAACTCCTTTTTTTTTTTTGTACCGGGGATTGAACTTGGGTCCTTGAGCTTAAAACTCCTATTTTTAGGGAGAGAGACTGTAAGTGTTTTGATACAATGAGACAGTAAGGAAGTATTGTAGCACAGGCCTAAAGGTAAGGAAATAAGAGGAAGGAAGCTGTAGGCCTTGACACTGCTTGAACATAATGTAGCTACTTCTCTAGACTCTAGCTTTAAGGTATGCCCCACATTCTGCCAGACTTAATGTGAATATAAGCTTGCTCATTGAAATCCACTTCGTCTCCTTTGGCAGTGGCAGCCTTATCCCTTAAGAATAGTTCTGCTGTTTCCATAATATCTTCTCTGGGTTAAGCTAAATGGTGTCACTGTTCCTTCATGTGTTTCAGTTCCATTGAAGTCCAATAGTGGGAAGAACAGAAGAGCCTGACCTTTCCTCTTAGCTGTGCTTCCTGGGTGAGATAAGCCCAGCTTAAGTAAATGAGTGAAATCATCTCTGTGGTTTTAGCAAATTACTCAGTGCATAAGAACATTCCATAAACGGTACTGCTAGTTTAAGAGAGGAAGGCAGAATTATTCATTTCATGATAAACTCTTTGCTAGCTGAGTATTTCATGTTTTGATAAATTGCCTCTGAGCATCTTTCTAACAGATACTATTTTAGGCTTGGGAAGACAAGTTCTTAGCTCCCCAGGGCTGTAGCTGGGGAGACAGAAAATATGTTACTAGAGGAAGTATCCATGCCAGTAATATAGGGTAAATATAAGTGTCATATGAAAGCTCACTGAATATTAAAAATTTAAAAGTTCAAGGATTTGTCCTGAAATGAGAAAAGTCCACCCTAAAACTGGTTGTTCATTTTTCTCCTCTGTGGCATATATCCATGCCATCTTTGTGGTCCCGGTGGCTTTTTCCCTTCTGTGTTTTTTGCGGAAGATACTTGCAGTCTAAGTTGCAGAGGATAAGCATACCTTAGGGCCGGATGCCAAATGTTGTTTACAGCAGTGTTTGAGAAGGCAGGCTTGATGTTTGTCTCCTAGAATCACTCTCAGCACTGTGGGTTTTTGCTTGCATCAGCAGCCTAGAATGTGGCAACTTCAGTCCTCAAGCATAAATCTAGCTTCACAGTGTTTGGAACAAGCTGATCAAAGCTCAGATTGCCCTTGGTGAAGCTTTTGTAGTCTATTTATCTTTCTGGCTTGCTAATGCTGTCTCAGCTTAGAAGAGAGTGACTTTTAGTGTCCTTAGTTGCAATAAGAAGTTCCTAGGCAGAATTGCCTATACATTATTCTTATTTTACGTATGCAGAGAAATAAACCAATGGGTAAGTGAAATAGAAGGGCTATCTCTCTACTGAATTTGTCCTCAAAGTGAGGGCAGTATGGGCCATAAGATTAGCCAGGAATCTTTCCATTGAGAATATATAATCTGATTCAACCTGGCTTAAGGCAAAATGGGACTTTATTGGGCTGAAAACTGCAGAATCTATAGAAGAGTGGGACTGAGATATGGTGGGTTAGAGTCAGTGGGAGGCAGTCCATTGGTTTCTGAGCCTGCTTCTATCTGTGTTGGCTCATGTTCTGGTGCCACATGACGGCCCGTGACAGCATTGGCTTCCTCAGTATCTTTACTGGTAGCAATTTCAGCAGGAAAGAGAAAGCTTATTTTCTCACAGCGCCAATGAAATCCTCATCCTAACCCTTATTGATCCAAGTGGCCACTGCCAAATTAAATTATTTATGGCCAAGGATGTAGACTAGGCCACCTGGCGTAGGCCTAATTGGTCACACTTCTTCAGTCCTGTGTGCCAAAGTAACTTTAACTCAACTGGCTTGCATTACTGCATGCTTGAAGACTTCCTTGCTTAGAAAATAAGTTTTGATTCTGTAGCAAGATTCAGGAAAGAGGAAAAGAGGTGTTTGTGAATGTTTCTCTTCTTTTTGGGGATAGGTCTCTGTGCCTTTGCTCACCAGCTTCCCTCAACCTGAGTGCTATCTTCTTTCTCTCTGCTAGAATCTGGACTGTCCTTAAGGCTCAAGGTCAGTGCCTCTTCCTTCAGAAGACTTCTCAGGGTCTGCTTCATCCTCTATACTTTCCCTAGGTTAGGGTCCCTTGTAGTTTATGTTACATTCCACATTTGTAAGTTAAAAGATTTTTTTGTTGTTGTTGTTTTTGATACCAGGGATTGAACTCTGGCCCTTGTGCTTTTGAAGCAGGCAGCGGAACCACTGAGCGAAATCACCCGCCCAAAAGATTCTTTTTTAAACTTTAGTACTTGTTTAGATTAGGAGCCTATCACTTTAGACCACTTTATCAAAGGTTCTGAAGTAATTCTGTAGTAAGTTGTGCCTTCATGTCACTCTCTCTTGGTGATCCTCCTGCTCCAGAAGCATGGAAATAGCCTTCGGTGTTTTCATTGGGGAGCTTGAGCTCCACACAATACCTTAATGGATATCAGTTCCTCCTTTATCTTTACTGGCTTATACAATAGACCCTCAAGTTATTACTGACCTGACATATGAATAACTTGGGTTAATTAGGCTAATAGAAGATTCATGTGCCTCTTCGTATCTACTGGTAAACATCCAAATCTCAGCTGTATTGACTTAGTTACAACCAGCCCTCAGAACTGATCGGGTTTGTATGTCAAGGGTTCACTGTATATCCTTTTTAAGTGCTATTGCTTGGATCTTACATGTCCTCCAAAGTCTCGTGTGTTGGAGACATGATCCTCAGCCTATGGCCCTATTGGGAAGTGGTGGAACCGGTGAAGAGTGAGGCCCAGTAGGAAGTCACTGGGGGCATGTCCTTGTTGGAACATTGGATCTTCTCCTTTCTTTCTCTTTCGTTCCTCCCTCTCTCTCTCTTGTCTATTCCAGCAGCTCCATCCTGAGGTGAACAACTTTGCTCTGACATGACATGCTGCCCCACTACAAGCCTGAAGGCAATGGGTCTTCCTAACCATGGACTGAAACCTCTAAAATTATGAGCTAAGATAAACTTTTTCTCTTTCTAAGTTGATTATCTTAGGTTTTTTGTTATAGTAGCAAAAACTGACTAAAATTGAAGTATATGCCTAATAATTCCATGTTGCATGAATTGCTGATAGTAGCTGCAAAGAAATACAAATAGCTTATAATCCATCCTTATTCTTTATTTTATCCTTATGCTAATTATGTGTAAAACTAGATTTGTATTGATTTTCAGGAATAAGTGAGCAGAATCAGCTAATTCAGTAGTTAGTTTCCCCATTATCACTTTTATTTTCTGTAATTTCAGTCATCCTTGGTCAACTGTGGTCTGAAAACATTAAATGAAAGATTCCAAAAATAAACAATTCCTGTTTTAAATTGTGTGCCATTCTGAGTGGTATGATGCACCCATGCCATTAGGCTGTGTCCTGCCTAGAACCTGTGTCATTCCATTGACCAGTGTATCCAAGCTGTACTGAGTGGTTGTTATGTAAAAGCTGGATCCATCATTGGATTGACTGTTGTAGTGTCACAGTGCCTGTAGCCAGGGTTTTACTTAATACTGGCCCCAGAGCATGCAAGTAATGACTCTGACAATCACATATACCAAAGAGGAGTTGTAAAGCACTTTCTTTAGGTGAAATAGGGAAAAGACTCATTCTAATAGGGAAAGAGAAGAAACAAAGCTACTGAAGTTGCTGAGATTTACAATACAACATTTTGAGAGAT